TTGAGTCACAACTCTGGCAGCACCTCCTACAGTTCCTCGGCACGTCTAGACAACGCACTACAGCATACCACCCTCAAGCCAACGGCATGGTAGAGCGTTTTCACCGGCAGCTGAAGGACGCACTCAAGGCACAGCACGACCCTTACAGCTGGACTGATGCGCTTCCCTTAGTGCTCCTCGGCATCCGTGCGTCACACAAGGAGGATATGGACTGTAGCCCAGCAGATCTGACACTAGGCGAGCCCCTTCGGCTACCCGGGGATTTCTCACTCCCTCCTGATCCCAACCAAACCACTCCAGCCGTTCGTCACGACTTACTCCAAAAGCTACGACAAGCAGTTTCTGCATTCAGAGCTACTGCTCCACGCCAGCCTACTCGGCGCCCTGAACACATCCCTCCTGCACTACTCACAGCCGAGTATGTTTTCGTCAGGCATGATGCTCACCGCAACCCATTACAACGCCCCTCCGATGGACCCTTCCAGGTGGTTACCCGTTCAGCAAAGTTCCTGACAATTATCCGGAATGGCAGACATGATACCGTCAGCATAGACCGAGTCAAACCGGCCGCCTTACCCGTCGGGCCCCCAGCCCAGCAGCACCATCAACAAACTACGCCTGCACCAGTCCACCCGCAGTTACCACCGGCAGCAACACCACGCCCACGACATTTCTGGGCACCCTCTTTTCACCCTCATGTACAACCTGCTCCTGTAATAGAACCTGAACCTGTAATAAACCTCCCTTCTATCATAGAACCTGCTCCTGTCATAGACCCTCCTCCTGTCATAGAACCTGAACCTGTAATAAACCTCCCTTCTATCATAGAACCTGCTCCTGCCATGGACCCTCCTCCTGACGCAGCCCCTGCAGCAGCAGGAGCGCAACAACCATTGCTTGTACAACCTCCTCTAATCCCAAACCCTCTTTCTCCTCCTAATTCTCCCACAGGTTTTGTGTCACTGGACGGAGTTGTTACACGTAGCGGTCGAGTCGTACATACACCTGCCCGGTATGTGTTATGTGTGGGACACAACCCGGACAACATCCAGCCTCCCGCCGCGCCGGGAGGGGAGGGGGAGTATTGTAGTGGACGTCTCCCCTATAACTGCCTACAACTGCGTAGCCACAGCCACCACCTGCTACCGCATTCCGACGTGCCGTCTCCTAGCAACCAAGCGAGAGCTGACGCCAGATGGTAAGGTTGCTTAGCAACGAAACTAGTCACCGGCAACTTTCTGGGTTTTCCCAACATGATTCATAGAGGACTGGCGGCTGCTGCTGGGTATATAAGATCTGTCTCTCCATTGAGATTCATTCTGCCCATCTTCCTGAACAAGCAACACCTCCTCCAGCAAGCTCCACGCTGTTAGCATTCAATCAATCAGGAGGCCAGCAACAAGCAACATCTTCTCTAACGAAGCTCCTGCACATCTACCTCCTTCAACACGCTACTCACCGAACGTCTTCTACTGAGCAGCTCCCCACCACACGGCACCTCCAGCACCAGACTGTCTATCATATAACTTATATTATATAAGAAAACCACATTAGAGTTTCCTTCCATCCTGAGTGCTAGACAACATTAATATCTCGATACCCCTACAAGCTTATCTGTGATAGGTTTAAAATTGTATCTTGCATGACGCGATAATGTTACTATATTTACTATTTTTTTTATTCTTTAAGAAAGTAGGTCTGATGGTAGAATGAAACATCCAATTAATATTCTATAATATGAAATTAGTCATGAAAGCACAGTCACATGAGATAATCTCATCTTTTGCACGACACGTGATGGAATATTAAATATTTGTACGTATTGATTTTTTTATAAAACCTGGTCTGATAGAACAAAACAAATATCAGATTCGAATTCAGCAATATGAAATTAGTTGTGTGAGCATGATCTCATATGTGAACCATTTTGGCTGTTGACCAGTGTATTGTATTGGATGTACAGTGCAGCTTGGTGCTGGGAAGCTGCTGATTAGCTAGAAGTGTGGAGTAGAGAGAGCTGGTTGGTGAGGAGCTTGCTCAGAGGAGGTGTTGCGTGCTGCATGGCTGTAGGTAGAAGAAGGGAGTTCACAGCGTTGTTGAGAGCTTATATAGCAGAGGTAGGCGTGGCTTGATAGCTGATCTCGCTTTGTCAGATGTCGCTAGTAGCCGACCTTAGACCACGAGGCATTAGCTGGGGAACCCGAAAAGGGATCGGCTAGTCAACGACAAATGGCAGTTGTAGTTGTAGGGGAAATTTCCACTACAATACTTCCCCTCCCCTCTGGGTGATGCAGGAGACTTGTTGTCTGCAGGGTTGTATCACACATGTGAGACATAACGGGCAGGAGTGTGGGTGAGCCAGCCGCTACGGGAGACGACTCTGTCTAGAGACACGAGATCTGTGGGAGAAGCAGAGGGAGAAAGAGGGTTGTGGATAAGAGAAGGTTGTACTGGCATGGAATATGGTGCTTCTCTCACGGCAGGTACACAGTCCTCAGTGGCGCCGGGTGGGATGTCTGGGTCCACATCAGGAGCAATAGGTACCTGAGGATGAAAAGAAGTTACCCAGAACTGTTGTGGGCGAGGTGGTGTTGTAAGCGGCACTGGTGGGCAGACTGGCGGAGGAGGTGCGGGATGAATGTGTTCAGGGCGGTGGGAAGGCTGGCGTAGTGTTTGTAGTAGGTCGTGACGGGCAGCAGGAGTGAAGTGGTCAAGGTCAGAAGTAAGGCGTGTGATGTGCTGCTTGATAGTGGCGGAGGTTATGGCGCCTACCCGTCTCCGTCGATGTCGCTTCGCCGTATGGTTGCAGGGAGCCTCACAGCGTCTAGCGTTAGCACCAAAACGTTGATGGTACCAACAGGGGGTAGATACACTGTGCTGGGGGCTGGGGGCGGCGTCTGAGGCAGGACGGGTGTGTTGGGGTTGGTAGGACGTAGTGCATGGGGCAGGAAGAGGGGCAGCTGCATGCTTGGAGGAGCAGAACTGCTCTAGGGTGTCTAACCTGCAGTGTAGGGACAGTAGCAGGTCCCGCACATCTTGTGAGGTGTTGGTCGTCTGGGGAGCGCTGACCAGGTTGACGAGATCAGAGGAAAGTGAAAGTGTGTCCGCTGAGTTGTGTGCCGAAGCATGGCGCACAGCAGTGCACTCGTTGAATATTTTGTCTGCTGAGGTTGCGTAGATTTCTGGTGTTGTAGAGTAATCTACTGCGGACAGGGTGATGCAAACTTGTGTGGGGAGCTTCTGTGCATAAAGCTGGCGCAGGACAGAGTCGGGAAATTTGTCTGTGCAGGAGTTGAGTTTCCGAGGGAGAGAGAGAGGATAGGTTTTGCAGGAGACTGTTGCGGGACCACTGGTAACGCATCTTCAGAGCATCCCATAGGGCAACGAATTTGTTGTCAGCTGGAGGGTTGGTGATGGTCTCTGAGACTTGCGTGGCGACTTCTGTGGGCAGGGAACAGACCAGGGCGACATACTTATGTTTGCCTGTAGCTGTAGAGCCGATGAGAGCTGCCTCCGTGTGGATAAGCCAGTCTTCAATGTTGTGATTGAAGACTGGGAGAGTGATCAGTTTCTCCTCCATCCTGCGTGAGTGCGATTTTCTGGGTGTCACCAATTGTGGGGTTTCGTGATGTTGTCTCACACTCAGGATGGGTTGGAGAAAGGAAACTCACAATGCGCTCTCTGTATATATATTGTATTGGATGTACAGTGCAGCTTGGTGCTGGGAAGTTGGTGCATGGTTAGAAGCGTGGAGTAGAGAGAACTGGTTGGTGAGGAGCGTGCTCAGAGGAGGTGTTGCGTGCTGCATGGCTGTAGGTAGAAGAAGGGAGTTCACAGCGTGGTTGAGAGCTTATATAGCGGAGGTAGACGTGGCTTGATTGCTGACCTCGCTTTGTAAGGCGTCGCTAGTAGCCGACCTTAGACCACGAGGCATTGGCTGGGGAACCCGAAAAGGGATCGGCTAGTCAGTGACAAACGGCAGTTGTAGTTGTAGGGGAAATTTCCACTACAAGCCTTCACTGACCGAGGGTCCGCTCACACTTGCAAACCTGCAGTATCCTTTAACATCTGCAGGTAGGACAACCTCCATCCTAAATCCGGTTTGGCTGCTCCAAGTGCTCCAGCCGGAACCACCAAACGGGCCGCCTACAGGCAAAGACCCGTGTCGGACTACGGTCCGACAATCTCAACAACAACAACAGTCCTGGATTGTTTCAAGAAAATCCTCTGATTCTGAGTTACCCGTAAGTCAATCCAATCTATTTGGCTAAAGTTAAAGTCGCCTACTATACAGACTTTGCTATGTATGGAAGCTCTGCGCGTTTCATCCCAAATAAGTCGCTCATTAACTCTATCAAGATTAGGAGGTCTACAGTATGTATTACTCTTATGATTAATTTTTCCCTACCATCGATTAATTCTATCCAAATTGTTTCTGTATTCCGCTCAGTTTTTATTTCCTTATTTATTCCATACTTCAAATTATCCCTGACATAGATTGCTACTCCGCCTCCTTTCCTTATCTGCCTATCGGTATGGAATAATTTGTAACCTGCAATTTGGTATTCGACAGGTAACTCACGTGAGTCTAGGTTTATCCATGTTACAGTGAATGCTATTATCCTGTATATCGATTTGTTCGATACTGAGTTTGCCACCCCACGGCTTAATTAATTAAAAAAAAATGGTAATTCCAAATTTAACTTTGAACCTCTGCAGTTTTAATACCCTGAATCGCCATGGACGCCGTGATTCACGTTACTAAACTCGAATTAAAATAAATTTATAATTCTGCCAGGTTGTTCGCCTGTGCTGTTAAAAAACGAGGAGGAAAAAGATTGACTCGTGTTTACATGACTTCCACCAGGTCCTGGTCATGACGGTACAAAGTGTAAACAAAGATGTCGTTAAAGGCGTAAAGAAGTGAAAGCTTGTCTGTTATGACGTCTTTTTAAAAAAGTGTGTTTGATTTTCTTTGTGTACTAATTATTTTTTGTAGAAACAATAATTACTATAAATTTAGTCACAACCTAGCAACTTCATAAGTTGTAAACAAACAGTGTGAGCCAATCAGCTGGTAGTTCAGGATTTTCCTGTTGCACGAGCACAGTGAGACACATCGTGTACTGTGTCTCGTTCTCCTGCTTTCTTACCAACCATCATAGTCACTACCTTAAGGTAAGTATGGACAGTAAAGGTGCAAGAAGCTTAGTTTAGTATGATAGTTTGTACTTAGATTCTTTATGGTGATATGAAGTAGTTCATTCCATGTCCTTGGCTGGATCTTGACCATTGTACCATTTACAACAGCAAATATCGATGCCTAATAAGGTTTTATCCTATGTCCTATATAATTAATTGAACGTTTATTCATTAAGATTGTGAAAGAAGTTTACACTGTTCAGCATGTACATAGTCTAAGTCGAATCAGGCAAGGATAGACCAAGAAAGCTGTGAAGAGCTTATTTCCACAGGGGTCCTTATGTATGGTTAGGGTGACTAGTCACAGCAATAGATGTCTATCATAGGAAAATGAATTTGTAACAGTCACTACATAGTGCTTAGGTGACTTACACCTCATTTCCACAATTAATAGTTTTGCTTTTCTTTTTTGTTTGTTTTTGTTTTAATTGTTGGAGTCATTCAAAATACAGGTATATGGAGGCTATTGATTAATCATGCTGTGAATTGATTGGGTTAATTATTGAGGACTGACTCGCAGCTGATTTTACTTAGAAAATTATTATAAAAATGCCCCAATTTCTGTTTGTTGTAAAGTGGACACTGTCGTAGTTTGTGCAAATGTGTTTTAAAGTGGGTATTTCTAAATTAAACCTAACCTAACCTTAGTTGATATGAAAAACAAGCCACAGAAGCATTGTTAGAAGACTTCACCAACCTAACCAAACAAACCTACCTGACCTTACCTAACTTCCTTGCTGTGGGGCTTTGCCCCCTGGTCCCCTCAGTATATTAAACAGAAAAAATTTACTATGATATGGTGCAAATTTACGTTTTTTGTGGACGAGAGCAGTTGCCCGTACCGAACGGTTCATAAGCATAAACTGAGCATTGGCATTGATCCGGCCCGGGGGCGTAATGTTTTGAAATAAGTCAATATGATTGGCTGTTTACATCCTGGGATGAGACGTCACCGCCGAGAAGACAAAGTAGTGCACACCTAGCTGCCTAATTGTCTGTCAAATGAAGCATTTGCACAAGAAATTATTATCATATCACATAATTGTTAAACCTTGATTTTTTCTAACCTAACCTAACCTAACCTTACGTAAGTGTTAAACCTTGATTTTTTCTACCCTAACCTAACGTAAGTGTTAAACCTTGATTTTTCTTTTACCTGGTATAGTATATTATTCTCTTATTGATATTTCTCTTCTATATTATGTGTGTGTGCATACCATCATAAAATTAAGATTTTATTTTTACTACAATGTAGGTATTGTGTCGGTATTGTGTCGGAAAAAGTGGAGTTTGGGGGGTGGGCTCAGTCTCTATATCAATTAATCCCATATGTTCGGTTATTTCATTTACGCGTTTCTTGTTTTACGCGGTACAACACGGATTCAATTGACCGCGTAAATGAAGACCCAACTGTACAATGCCTCTCTGGGGTTTTATTACCATAAATATTGGCTTGGTTGTCTTTTGTATTAAATTTTGTAGGCTTCTCTTTTTTGTATGACCTGTGCAAATCTCTTTGGTATGGGTGGAGGAAACAGTTAGCACAGGGACGTTTTGAAATGCACCAAATTCAAGAGATATTGGTTGGATGTTACTAAGTAAGAAAATCGAAACTACAATGCACAGAACCTATTAGAACCTGATCTAACCTCACCTAACATACCTAACTTCCTAAGATGTGCATTGTCATTTTGATATTCTTAGTTACTATCATCCATATAACAGCTCTTGAGTAAATGAACCAGTTCAATTCAATATACTGTAAATCATAATAAATTCGCCCGATGAGATCGTCATTTGTTTCTTGACATGTAAACAAAGACTGTGGATGCTCCCTTATCGCAAATGATGTGAACCAAAACCTGGTCACCACTGGAGGTATGAAAACGGCATCATTATGGTAAATAATTTATTTCTTTGCCTACAAAGCACAAAAAGATGGGAAATTACTGCCATATGATCAGTGTTCGCTGAGGTTTTCTCCATTATTTCCCTTTATTTCATGCCGGCCCACTAATAAGTAATTTATCATCAAAGGATATGCTAAAAAGAAAAAAAATACAATTTTATTAAGCAATATCATCCAAACAACATCTAAAAAATTTAGTGCAATTCCTTAAAGTCCTTCTGGTGCTGATCATCTCCTTCACTTTTTTTTATCTTTTTTGTGCATAAGGTTTTTGAACCTCTTCTATGTAAAGAGGATTTAGGTTCATATACCGTAGTTGAATACATTTTCAATTTCTTTTGAGTATCGTTGGATTCTAAGTGAACTACATGTTCCTCTACAGTTCTTATTGTTCTTTCTCAAGGAGAAGTTAGTCATCTTGTTTTTCAATGGCATTGTTATGGTATCCTGTTCGGTATCATATTGCAAGGTATCTGTGCTTGTGGAGGATCAAAACCGTCTACAAGAGTTCACCCATGAACATGGACTAGTTGGGAGGACATGCAAGTGTTTAAAATGTGGCACAGAACTTCCAGTGAAAAATAATTATTTGTTTCAGTATAACTAAAGTCCATATTCATATATCCACAGAAGACTTAAAATTACACTATGCCACTTCAAGGAAAGTGCTTTTATTGCTACCAGATATCAAATAACTGTACAGTATAAATTCTTTCTGCTTTATATGCCTGGGGTCTTGGAGGCAGAGCCCACCGGTTAGAAGTTTAGGTAGGTTTGGGTTAAGTTGGTTTGGTCAGGTCCTGTGCATTGTCATCTCCATTTTCTTGTTTAGTATCATGCAAATAACATGTCCAGAATTTTTTTTTCAATTCCAGAAATTTATTATTTTTGGTACTAAATTCCCAGTATTTTGTTGACATGTAGTGTGAGTTGATAATTCGAGGTGTCTATGAATTATCACGTCTGCAATGTACCTCTTAGTTATGTGAATGGTTCCTTTCATTGATTTTTTTTTCTGTAGATAAAAACTAATGATTAGGATAGTTAAATTTTGTAATGTTAAATCATGTAATACAGTACAGTAAACCCTTGCTATTCGCGAGGGTTAGTTCCAAGGAATGGCGCAAATTGGCAAAACCGTGAATAGCAACTAATATACTGTATACCTTAACTGTGCATGTGAAACTTATGTCACCAATATTACTTACATTAGTATGTGGAAGTTTGATGAAGTGATGTACTGTACATAGGGACACATCTGGTTACTGAAGAATAGGGGGATCATCAGGATCACTGTTGGAAGAGGATGATGCTGTGGTGGTTGGTGGAGGGGCGGGTGGTGGGGAGGCACGTGGCCGGAAGACAGGTGGTGAGTGGCTGGGAGGAGGAGGGTGGAGCGGCGGCGGTAGCAGCTGAGTGAGGGAGGGAGATGAGTCAGCCCATAGCTTCTATCTTGAAAAACATTGTGATTGTTAGTTGTTTCTTCATGGCTTTGAGGTCTTTAAACATTTCCTAGTAGTGAAACAATACCTGGTTGATTTCTCAGACCATCTTAAGGCTCCATTTCATGGAAGGGTCGTGGTCAACAATGAAATCAGTTTCCACCTTCACATGTCGAAATAGTTCACCCAAATTATTCAGGCCCCAACCTTCTTGTTGCAATTCCATAATTTCTTTTTCATCTTCCTCAGCACTTTTTACCAACTCTTCCAAATCCTCTTTTGTCAGTTCCTCTCCATGCCCATCACTCAGCTCTTCCATGTCTTCAGCAGCCATGTCACAAATCCCTCACCACCCAATTGACGTGCACCACTTACAATGTCATTCACATCCTTTACTATGGATGGAAATCCCTGGAAGTTTTTCACACACTCAGGCCATAAGATTTGCCAAGAAGCATTCACTGTCTCTGGTTTGAGTTCATTGAATGCTTCACTGATGTTGGTAATGCATTCCACAACTCTGTAGTCCTTCCAACACTAGCTAACATCAAGGTCAGGGTCTGCGTCCATGGTACCTGTACTATGGATACGACCATGGTGGTGTTAGGGGGTAAGAACACCTCTACACCTGAATGGCTAAACTGTAAACTTTCTGGGTGGCCTGGTGCATTATCTGTCAATAATAGCACCTTGAATTCCATCTTCTTGAAAGCAAGGTACTTTTCCACTTCAGGGACAAAGCATTTATGGAACCAATCCAGGAATGCTTGCACAGTTACCCATGCCTTTTTGTTGGACTACCAAAAAAATGGCAAAATGATCTTGTTTTTACCCTTTAAAGCCCTAGGGTTTGCTGAGCGGTAAAGCAAGCCAGGCTTGATCATGTGGCCAGTTGCACTGCCACAGAAGATGAGCATCACTCTGTCCTTGGCTACCTTGAACCCAGGGGCACGCCTCTCCTGCTTGTTAATGTACGTTCTACCGGGTATCTTTTGCCAATGCAGGTTTACAGTAGTCCGGATTCATCAGCATTAAACACTTGCTCTGGTCTATAGCCTTTCTCTCCTATTATTTTCTTTAACTTGATGGGAAATGCCTCTGCGGCTGTGTGGTCAACTGATGCGGCCTCTCCAGTCAGCTTCACATTATGGAGAGATAATCTTTTCTTAAAATTCTTGAACCAACCTTTACTGGCAAAAAACAGTTGGTTCAGTAGCTGCACTGTCTCCTTCACCACCTGTTGACTCATAAAAATGGGCATGAAGACTCTGACTCCCGTATTATTAAACAACATATTCCCTTGAAGAGGGCCGTCGTGTTTCAACCCGAGTTTTAAACTAAATGAGTCCTGAGGGACACCACAGTACTGTACTTAATGGGGTGGTGTGGCGGTAAAATTAACTAATTCCAATAAAATTAATTTATAATATTGGAATTAGTTAATTTTACCGCCACACCACCCCATTAAGCACTGTTCTGCGGTGTCCCTCAGGACTCATTTAGTTTAAAATTTGAGTTGAAACACGACGGCCCTCTTCAAGGGAATATGTTGTTTAATAATACGTGCGTTAGCCTTCTCGTGAATCACGTTGCTGTCGATTGCAACACTTTTGTGGTGTTGGTCC